CTGGATATCAGGCAGTCGCCTATCAGCAAGCACCAGTATCTGTCCTGCAGGTTTAATGTGACCCAGGCTATTAGGGTTGCCTAATGATGGCTATTTCTCCCAGCTGAACACAAAGGCATGGTCTGGTGCCCACCTCAGGCTTAGACCCTGTTCCTATAGGTGTTTGTCACGTTAGTACAGGATACAAGTGCACTTTGCAATGTCCTCTCACATCCATTTACACGTACTGGCTGTGAGAGTGACTCTGGCATGAAGAGAGACATCCACCTTTGTAGGCAAAACAAGGCTTGTAGAGAGACAGCCCCTCACACACCATGACGTGTTGGATGTGGTATGTTTGGTCAGCAGAAGACCTCTGAAGTGGAGCAGGTACAGGAGGTGGCAGAGCAGAAGGAATCCCATACCATGGAGGATGCATGAGCACAGGAGATCCAGCCTGAGCACAAGGGCAGTGAAAGGCAGGAGCCTTCTGCATCACTCATTGTGCTAGATTTGATGGGCCTGATTTAGGATGAATTATGTAAAACGTGTCCAAATAACCTAAAGGGGTGATAAACCACTCCTGATGCTTTGTTGCAGATTTTGGGTGGTTATTTCCCTATTTGCAGCAAATACTATAAAAGCAAATACGAAATGTTCTGGAGTCAACAGCTTGCCATGGAAATAACAGTGTTCATCGCTCCCTAGGACTGTGTGTGAATCAGGGATGTCAAAGGCTTCACACCTAATACAGAACTGGAGGGGAGGGGGATGCATCCCAGAGCACCAGGTCGAACAGCACCACGAGAAACTGTGATTCCTCCTTAAACATCCAAAGCACAGGTGCTGGTTGGATCAGGAAGGCAAAGTGATGGGGACCTGTGCTGGTGCTCTCCAGGCATTTTATTCACTGTTTCCAGACCACATGGGGTCATCTTTACTGCGAGGGTGCTGAGGCGCTGGCACAGGGTGCCCAGAGAAGCTGTGGCTGCCCCATCCCTGGCAGTGTTCAAGGCCAGGTTGGACACAGGGGCTTGGAGCAAGCTGCTCCAGTCGAAGGGGTCCCTGCCCGTGGCAGGGGTTGGAACTGGATGAGCTTTGAGGTCCCTTCCAACCCAAACCATTCCTTGATTCTATGATTCTACCTTCATACTTCTGTACCCCAGATGCAGCCGCCTTCCCTTGGTGAAGGAAATGGTCTCCTTGGAGGAGAGTCAGACCTCTTCATTAAACAAAATGCGCTTTGAGATACCTCTAAGAACCAAGGGTCTGTTCAGGCAGTGGGAAGAGACAGATTTTTCTCTTACGCCTGTGCATTAGGAGTAACTTCATGCAAGTGTCACTGAGGTAAGCAAGAGCAGAAACAGATGTGGAGCACAGCTACAAACAGGATGTGAAAATAAGCTCATTACTCCATCTGCCCACCGTAAACAGCGTGAAATTAGCAGCAAGCGAGGAATAAAAATGCAGACAAATAGCCTTTTAAAGAGAGCAGAGGGAGCTGGAAGGTCTGCTATTAGAAAAGCAGAGGCATTGAAAGCCCTTAACTACTCACAACCCAGTGAGTACTCTGAGCCCCTGGTCAGTCAAGGGGTAAAGGTGGAGGAACATCCCTCAGCAAGGGATAAGGTGCTATATGTTTGGAGGCAAAACTGGAAAGAACACTCCACCTTTAGGAGAGAAGACCTGATTTTGCTTCTGTCCCTGCCTGTTAGGAAGCACCATCTCTTTCATAAGTCACAGAGATTTATTATCTTTTTCCCCCTAAGAGGCACTCTCTTAATGTTGCATAAAATTACTCTCCCAGGGGTAGTGTGCAGAGGAAAGCGTGGTGTTATGTTGTCTCAGTTGCAAAGACATCGCCAACAATAAAAGCCCTTGAATGATTTGGGTTTTAAGTGACGTGATTATTGAACGGGTCATTCGTGATGCTCCAAGTTGCTTCAAACACCTCTGGCACTAAGTCTGAATGGGGGCGTTTTATGCTTTGGGTTTAGGCTTAAAATATTCACCCCTCGCCTTTGTTTATGGGGCAAATCTCAGCTTGAGGATATATTTACTTAGAATTTCACAGGGAAATCTCTCAGATGGTCGATGTGCTTGATTTATTTAAAGTGGGATCCCGAAGTGGTTTACAGCTTTTACAGGCTGGCTGTGTTTATAACCATCCTGGGGAGTATCTTCCACAATTCATGTAGCAGAGAGGGGAAAGGAGGGTCATAATGTCTATTTCAACCTACTTTTCTAGCAACTGACGTGACAGTGGCAAAGTCATCTCTTCTAGAATTAAACTTGCTGTGTGTTATCCTTGTCCAGAGGAGATCCTTTGGAGAAAGACAGGGTAAAATAAGTCAAGGACTTGCTTTCTTTTCTCTATGGCTTCAGATCTGTGCATGGAACATTAGTGGTGTCTGAAAGCAGAGGCTGTGAGCAGCTCCGGTTCATTTTATGGATCTCAGTGAAATTGCAGAGACCAAATGATATTTCAAGGAAACTGGTTCCTTGTGTTCAGAGTTCTTCAAGATACGACAGCCCAAGGCAGAGTTTGTTATGCGTTGGAAATAATTTTTCTCTCCACATTTGGCAGATCCAAACAAGCCTTGAGTGCTAAATAAACCAGGTCTATGAATAAATCAGGGGTAGAAGAACTCAAATTGGAGGTGATGTGAGATTGAAAAAACTGAAAGCTCGATGTTGGCCACAAGGCACTTTGAAATAGTCTGGCGTTTGATGAAAGGTTTTGCATTTGAGATGCCATTGGGATATTTCAGGAGGAAACCTCCTGGTGGGTTCACCCAAAGTCTGTAATAAACGTAATTGAAATACCTGAACTCCAGCTGCTGCCTTCTATTCTAATCAAGAGCAATAGAAGTAGCTCCTTCTTAGCAAACATCCTGCGACTGTTGAGGGAAAGGGAATGGCCATACTGGACTCAACAAGCTCCAACTGGGAGGGCAGCAGAGGCAGATACAGAAATTAAGGACACAAGAGGTAGCAAGTGGAAATAGGGAAAAGGGACTTTATGGAAAAATCAATGGAGTCTTGGAGAGAACGGAGATCTCATGAACGCCCAGAAATGGAAATCAGGGCCCCTGATTTTCTAATATTGTCCAATTTGGGTCTCATGAGGAACACAACCTGGAAAGTCTCAGAAACCAGAAGATGCCCCCAGCTTGTATACCCCATGAAGGGTAAGGTATCCTTACCCTTCTGGTTCCTATCCAAAGGGAAGACAAGTTAAGCTAGAGACAAAGAGTTCCTTTGAGAAGTATTTGAGAAGTCCTCCTTCAAGGTCATGACAGCAGTTCCTGGTTTTATAGTACAGCAGGATCTGAAATTACATTATAGGCACAGGGACTGATTCTCCCCTTCCATAAACCAGGTTTCCTTCTTCATCACACCCCCAGGCCATGGTGCAGTCATGTCTGATCTATGTCAGCATGGTCCAGAGCATCGCACCAACTAGGAGCGTGATTTGCCTTGTTCTGGTCCTCATCTCCTCTGGGTGCCACCATGCTCTGCTGAGTACAGCTGAGCCCCTGGCATTGCCATTGCTGGGGTGGAACAATACAACCATGAGCCTCGGAATGAGAACATCCCCTGGAGTCAGTCTGGATGTGGCCAGCCTGCTTTAGAAAGGAAGCACATTTAATAGCATGGAATTGGTCTGCTCCAGGCCATGGGGACACAGCATCATTGAGCCCTGCTGAACTAATTTATTGGTGTATGAATAGCAATAATGTCTTCCTCCCATGCTTTCATCTCTCTTCTCAGTATGTGGAAGAGAGCACTTTGTGTTTTTATAATAAACTCTGAGGAGAACTTAGAGAAGCTTGGACAAAGCCAAGACAGAACAGTGGGAGCCCTGGGGAGGTGGTGACAGCAAGCATGGGCCAACTGCTGGGACACGTGTGAGCTGACTCCATGTCAAATCACCCCACACAGAGCCATCCATAGCTGCAGTGAGGTGGAGGGAGGGTTAAGCCATGTCTGAGGGGAAAAGGCTAGGATCTCCATAGCATTTGGGATGCTGTCAAATTTGGAGGGCAAAATGAGGGAGAGCTGGGGGAGCAATGGGTTTGGAAAGTTTTTTGTGCACCAAGAATGAGCAAGCACAGGAACTGGCCATGTTTCTGCCATATATAGTCTGGCTTCCAGGCTGACCTTGTCCAGGGTCTCTCTCTCAAATCAGGAAGAACCTGGTCTCCAGGTGAGAGGTGACCTCTCCTTCTGGGTCCTCAGCAGGATGCCACATTGCTACTGGTGGCTCATCAATATGAGAGACAGGGTTGGGTTGAGGTGTTGAGTCTCAGGTTGTGTCTTGTCCCCTTAACATCCTTTCTGCTTCCTTTTACCCACTCCTGTTCCTCTGCCATGCTGCTGCGCAGTGCTGCAACCAGTGCTCCCCATCACATGGGCAATCCCTATGTAGGATGGTAAGACTGAGCATTTAAAACCCCCAGTTGACCTGCTGGGGAGGGACTTGCCCACTTACAGATCTCAGAAGCAAGATCATTGCTTGTAGAGACAATGATGATTAGAGGTATTTCCATCTCTGCATATGAAGTTCTGCAAACCTCATAGCAGCATTCCAGTATCAAAAAGGTGCCCACAGGGATGCCGAAGAGGGACTCTTCATCAGAGACTGCAGTGACAGGACAAGGGATAATGAGTTTGAATTTAAACAGGGGAAGTGCAAGTTAGATATAAGGAGAAATTCTTCCCTGTGAGGGTGCTGAGGCGCTGGCACAGGGTGCCCAGAGAAGCTGTGGCTGCCCCATCCCTGGCAGTGCTCAAGGCCAGGTTGGACACAGGGGCTTGGAGCAAGCTGCTCCAGTGGAAGGTGTCCCTGCTCATGGCAGGGGTTGGAGCTGGATGAGCTTTAAGGTTCCTTCCAAACCAAATCATGTTATGATTCTAAGATGGACATCCCAGGCTGGTCCAACTCATGGGAGACACAGTTCATTTCCCACCTGAGGTTGCTCCGTCACCCTTAAACCACTTGTCTGATTTTCTTGCAGAAGGCATGGCGGAAGCTGTCAGCTCGAGCAGGGACTGCCTTCAAGCAGGCGAGTCCTGTACCAACGACCCCATCTGCAGTGCCAAATTCAGGACCCTCCGGCAATGCATTGCAGGCAATGGAGCCAACAAGCTGGGCCCTGATGCCAAGAACCAGTGCAGGAGCACTGTGACGGCCCTGCTCTCCAGCCAACTGTATGGCTGTAAGTGCAAGCGTGGCATGAAAAAGGAGAAGCACTGCTTGAGTGTCTACTGGAGCATCCACCACACGTTGATGGAAGGTCAGTCAAGCAGGGTGCTCATTTCTTGATGGTCTTCCTCAAAGGGAATTACTGCTAAAGCTTTCTACAGAGCTCCCCAGAAGTGGCCGCAAAGAAGGCCATCCCTGCAGCATCCCATTCCCTCTCATAACCTACTGATCCCTATTGCTTTTGGGGAAAGCAATCCTTCTTTCCTTTGTTTTTTTAACCTGGTCTCTTTTTTATGGCGTTCCCAGTACACCTTGATATCTTTTGCTGCAGAAATACATGCTATGTTTTCCATCACTTATGCTAGGCAAGACCATGAAAGCCATGGATATAGTACACAAAGCATGGGCCCTGAGCTAAAAAACAGCATGAACTTATAAAAATATCACTCTCTTGGAGGCTTGCAAATGCGTGGATGTCTTTGGGTTAGTGAAAATTTGGGGCTGGTGACATCAGTTGGAATTTAAAGTGTTCCCAGAGCCAGTATTTAATAAGTTTGGATTTTGATGGTTTTTAAGAGTCATCATAAAAGCACACCTCAGTGGCCATAACTCTTCCATGTCAGGCTGGTGAGTATTTTATGCACCATGAAAATTAAAATGGGGAATAAAACAGAACCTTCCACCCATGGGCTGCGATACAGATTAATAAAACACTGCTGGCTGAACACTGAAGGGAAAGGTGCAGGGTGATAACGTAGGCCAAAAGGCCAACCAAAACAAAGAGGATGGAGACTCTAACGCACAGGCTTTGCCAGAATGGAAACTGCTTGATCAAGTTCCCAGAAAGCTGCCAGGTGCCACAGCTTGGAGGAAGCAGAGCACAGGGCTATGAAGTGACTGGGGAAATAAGAAGCCTCAGCACCATCCAGGATCAAATCTTTCCCATAATTATATGCCAGATAGTTCTGTTTGTGTTGAAGAAAACTTTTACAAGGAACAGACCAAGGGGAATGGCTTGAACCTGCCCGAGGGGAGGCTGAGCTGAGCTCTTAGGCAGAAGCTCTTCCCTGTGAGGGTGCTGAGGCGCTGGCACAGGGTGCCCAGAGAAGCTGTGGCTGCCCCATCCCTTGCAGTGTTCAAGGCCAGGTTGGACACAGGGGCTTGGAGCAAGCTGCTCCAGTGGAAGGGGTCCCTGCCCGTGGCAGGGGTTGGAGCTGGAGGAGCTTTAAGCTCCCTTCCAACCCAAACCAGCCTGGGATGCTATCATTGTAGGAAATGAAGCCTAGGGAAGAGGTGGCCTCTCCATTCATCAGAACAGGCTGACCTTCATGTCCTGAATCTTTGGACACACCTCATCCGCACCATGGCTGTGCAGGACAGTGGTGCCAGGAGGACTTCCAGGTCCGGGACTACTCCTGGAAGAGCAGTGTGAGGACAGCAGGGAGTGTTGGGAGCAGGCAGGGGCCAGACGTGGCTCTGCAGATGCAGAGTAGGAGAGGGGTGCTGAATGGTCAGAATGGATGCATTTCCTGCCCAGCAGCCTGGGGTCTCCATCTAGAGAATGACTGTAAGAAAGCTGGTATCAGAGACTGCCATGACTCTGCCCTATGTGTCCTCTGCTGTCATGTCCTGAGCCCCACATCTTTTCAGGCTCAGAGTTCACTTGCAATGCAGATTCACGTTCCCAGCCCTTTGATTCCCTTACCTTAATTTCCCCAGGGAAATATACTTCATAACAGTCCCAGGTTTCAGAGTCCTTACGCATGTTTAATTGACTGAGAAAGGAAGCCAATCCACATGCTCCGTGTAGAGCTTTGTCTCTCAGTCCTCCATACCCACGAGGCTGTAAAAAGCTTCCTAGAAGCCCTCTTATAAAATCAATTGTGGAAGTGTGCGTTCAGGGAATTTGCAAAGCATACTATTTACTTAGCTTCTCTTGAGCGCGCCTGTGTTTAGCCACCTTCCCATTTGGAGACACAATAACACGATGACAACCCGATAACAATTCTCTGATAAGGTGCTATATCATCAGGACATAAAACTGCTACGCTGGAACATACAAATGGGCCCCTTTCCAGTCAGTAACGATGCAAGATATTTCAATGAAGGTGTAAAGCTGCCTTGTAAATGCACCTGTAGTAATTGCACAGGGCTCTGTACCCTGGGAGCTATTTCTTCCTGACCGCAGCTGGTGATCAGCATATGCCCGGAGCATGAGGTTTGATAGTCCTTTTATCCCAGCCAGTACATCTGCTGCTGCTGTCTATATCCATCTAAATGTCTAATAAAGGAAAAAATGATACTGAGCTGTTTGCCTCAATAATATTCTGTGGTATCCATCAGGGTGACGGGGCATTACAGAACATTGAGTGCAGGAAAGGGAAGCACCAAGTGAATAAAATCAGCTTCCCAACAACTTAAAAATGAAGTTTCTGCGGGAGCTGTGGATCATTAGCTCCATGCCAAGTAAGAAAAGTCTGCTGGCAAGGAGAAAGAAGAGGTGTAATAAATAGGAAGGCATGTGTTGCCGCACACACAACCCTGTCCAGGTGAGGACCATTGACCCAGGGAGAGACATATAGGGAATAGCAAGAATGGTGATGGAAACCCTATGTGTGCAGGGAGCTGGTGGTTTGAATCCTGCCCATGAGCCTGTACTACAATTTGGTGTCCTCAGTACCGAGCCCTATAAGGGGGCCCAAGACTTGAATTATAGAGAGCTGCAACCCAGCAGTTCCCTGAAAATCTTTCCAAAGCTGTAATGTACTTCTAAAAGCCAGTTATATCCTATTCTCTTCTCTAAGCATATGGCCACGCATCAGTTCCTGTGACTCTGAGTATCCATTTACTTATGGCCTTTTGGGCACATCCCCTTGGACCCATCAAGCAAACCTGCACTGCAGATGTTGAACATTGTACATCCCAGACATCCCTCAGGAGCCTCAGCTGCCTTCTCACCACCTTCTCTTTTCACCACAGGCATGAACGTACTGGAGAGTTCCCCTTACGAGCCATTCATCAGGGGCTTTGATTATGTCCGGCTGGCATCCATCACTGCAGGTAAGTAGTGGGAAGATGCTCTTATATTCACTGGTTCACACTGGGGGGAGCTGGCTGTGGGATCAAGTGCTACAAACAGGGTAATCCTTTGTGCTCTCTTATTGTCCATTCACACAGCATTGCGTGGTTCAGGACTAGCAATCACTTTTCCAAGGAGCCTCTTATGATTCCTGGGTTAAACTCTTACATGTCCTAGGAAAAACACTTGTGATTTTTGTAATTTGGCTTTTCCACGTCCATGCTGTGAATGGCTGGGATTGAGGAACATGGTAGGAAGATCTTTTCTAATGACACATGATGGGTGGGTTGATTCTCCATAGCAGGTGGATGACCTGTGTCATGCAGACACCCTGCTGGGGTATCATTAGGTATGAGAAGTTTGTGTTTCCACATCAGTCACAGATCAAACTCTGCAGGCAAAAAGGTCAATAACCTGACCTGTGGGTTGATCCCAGCCACAGCCTTTAAACCCATGCCCTGAGGGCAGCCTCAGGACTCAGACCCATGTTCTGCTCTGTGTCATGTAATCCACTTAATAATGTTAGCAGAGCTGCCCAACACCTTTTAACCCCCTTGAGGACACGAACCCCAGTTCAGCAGTTAAAAGGTCAGTGTGGTAGCTGTTAAGCCATCCATCACCAACATCACAGCTGCCACCACAATCACTGTTCGACTCTGCTTATGCACCACAGACATGGGGAAGCTTTACCAGCAGTGATTTTTCTTACCATATAACCAATATGGGAGCACATAATGTTCTCATGTGCCTCTGGCAGATGTACCAAAACATCAGCCCCGCTGCAGCTCATCCCAAATGTGCACCAGGGTGGCATCCACAGATGGAGCGCACACAAGCGAGTAAGGACCAGCAGGTCCCTGCAGCCGATGGATGGCTGCAGTCCCCGTGATGAAGGGCCACTTGTTAGGTGAAAATGTCCAGGAGCAAATTAACCCATCAGCCCTCAACAATATGAGCAGAGAGGGGAAAGGGGGTGCTCCTTGACCTCACGTCTTCTCATTGACTCCACTTGACTGAGAGTGGAAAGTGAAGCACGCACAAAGCTGTTTGCAGGGTCATGGCCTTCTTTACCAGAGTTTTTTCCCTTTTGCTGAAGTCCTGCAGGGCTCTTCCGAGCACGGGAGAATCTACGGATGGGGATTTTTATGCATGGTTAACACATTGCAGGTTTTTAAAGCAAACTGAAACCGGTTGGGCAGCGAAGCGAATGGGCCCAGAGCAGCAAGGGTATGTGCCAAAGGACTCAGCATCCATCTAGGGATGTGCAGTTTCTTGGTTTAACCTGTTTTTCCCCTACTTATACTCAACACCTTCAATAACATAATTTATGACCTACTAACCAGTGCCCAGGTCATACAGTCAGCTCTGTCAAAGAATCCTCTTTTAAACCTCCCAAATACAAAAATTCCCAAGAGCTTATTGAAGCATAAGACATCCTCATGACCACGTGTCAAGTCAGAGCAACAGATATTTTGAACCCAATTTTACATAAACAATATATATCAATTATTCAAACTGTGCAAATGGAATTCTACCTCTCTGCTCTAATTGCAAAACCTGTGCAAATGGAATTCTATCTCTGTGCTCTAATTGTAGCTGCGATTTAAAAAAGCACATCCTGTTATTGCGTGGGAAGAGGAGACAAACGAGTGTGTTCCTTGTGATTCATTAGCTGAATAAGTAATGAAACCCTTCCAAATAACTTTTTGCTGATAGCTCCCCTGTGTAAACTGGTTCTCTCACAATATTCACCCCTGGGCATATTAAAGGGAAGGACTTCTGTGGTGGGAAACACACTAAGCAAAAGTTTCACCATCATAAAGGAACTTCAAAACTTGGGATGTGACTTCCAGCTCATTATACACAGAGGGGACAACAGGAAGGGAAAAATAAGTGCTAGGATAAGGAGCATTTGTCAATGCCAGTGAAAATGAAGAAGGGCAGCCAGTTCACAGACTCGTTTGGGTTGGAAAGGACCTTAAAGTCCATCCAGTTCCAACCCCCTGCCATGGGCAGTGATACCTTCCACTAGAGCAGCTTGCTCCAAGCCCCTGTGTCCAACCTGGCCTTGAACACTGCCAGGGGTGGCGCATGTAAATATAGGAGCTTGGAGGAGCAGTCTCGTGGGTGTAAAGTTTGTTGTGTGTCCATGGAACATCTTGGGAAAGGTGAGTAGCGAAAATGAAATTGGTCCTGCCATTGCACAGTGAGCAAATGTGGACCTCACCCTGGTCACTGCTTTCCTGAGCAGGTGATGGTCTCACCAAGGTGGCCATGGATGAGAGCAGGATGGGGATGAAGGTATCTGCACAGGGTGGTGCTGCTGGGTGGGAAGATGAGCACAAAACCCCGTCTGCATCTCCCACAGGCTCTGAGAACGAAGTGACCCAGGTGAACCGGTGCCTGGATGCTGCCAAAGCCTGCAACGTGGACGAGATGTGCCAGCGGCTGCGGACAGAGTACGTGTCCTTATGCATCCGGCGCCTGGCACGGGCTGATACCTGCAACCGCTCCAAGTGCCACAAGGCTCTGCGCAAGTTCTTTGACCGCGTGCCGCCGGAGTACACCCATGAGCTGCTCTTCTGCCCCTGTGAAGACACAGCCTGCGCCGAGCGCCGGCGGCAGACCATCGTTCCTGCCTGCTCCTACGAGTCCAAGGAGAAGCCCAACTGCCTGGCGCCTCTGGACTCCTGCCGGGAAAACTATGTCTGCAGGTAAGGCTTGCATACACCGGGGTGGCCAACACAGAGAGCTGTGCCTTGGACAAGCATCCACTGGTGACAGCCCAGAGCCAATGCACTCATCTAAAGGATGATGACTGGAGGCACCATCCCACCACAACCCATTGACAGGCCATTGCCTGAGTGGCTCCTTCCCATGACCCGTGTCCTTGTCTTACATTTCTATACAGGAAGTGCTAACAGACAGAAGAAGATTTGAGATGTTCGTGTTGGAGTTTTTTAGATCTTTTCTATGGGTTTTTGGCTTTTGTCCTAAAAAAGACGTAGTGTAGTATACTGTAGCTTAGTGTAGTATATTGTAGTGTAGTGTAGTATGCTGTAGCTTAGTGTAGTATATTGTAGTGTAGTGTAGTATGGTATAGTAGTAGTACAGTATAAGTATATAGTATATAGTACATATACTATATATATACTGTTTCCAGGTCTACTATGCTATGCTAAGTTGCTATGCTGTGCTGCTATGCTATGCCATCCCATCCCATCCCATCCCGTTCCATCCAATACTAATACTATGCTACTATATAGTATATAGTACATACATAGCATAGCACAGTAGACCTAGAAGTAGTTCCAGGAAGGTGCAAGCTAGGCGGGGATGAGATATGGGGTGCTTGCAGCCACTTTCACCAATCTGTCTCCCCACTGCCTATCTCCCCTAGTCCAGAGCACACTACAGGAGCACCCCTGACTGTAGGACAGCCACAGGCACTTGTAGATACCTTAAAAATCCATTTTTCTTCTTTTTTTATTAGAAAACTTAACGATGTGTATAAAAGCACACCTTTCTGCTGCAAGGCTGGATGTGCTAGTGATTGTGATAGGGGTCTCAGCATCACGGTTGTCACTCCAGATCCACCATGTAGCATTTGGCCAGGGTAGTTTCCTTCTCTGTTTCCATTCAAACTGCATGCTTGCACACATACACAGACCCATCCCAATGTGCACACCCACAGGAATACCCTTTAAGTGTTTTTCCCTCAGCTCTATCATTTTCACCCCTCTATTTCTCCAAAGGTTTACCCATACAGCTCTCAGGAGCAGAGCCCATCTGTCAGTAGGGGATGTAAGACTATAACAGAAGCCTTACTGCACTATGGTGGTCCCAGCCCAGCATCTTGTGTGCAGCTGTGGCCAGGAGCAGACACCTGAGGAAGAGCACAAGAGCAAGTGTAGGACACATGTCCCACTATTGTCCTAGTCTCTAATTAGAGGTGGGGTTTGGGACTTCCTGAGCCGAGCTTCCAGCAGCCATCCACTATCAGCACATCATCTTTAAATATCTTTTCACAAAGGGAGGTGATAACAGCAGCATCCTCTTGGAAGGCTGGACTGGTGCTAATACTCTCAGCCCCAGGAATGTGGATGAAGAACAACTAAGCTATACATCTGAAGCTCATCCTGAAACATGCAAAGCCCCTGAGCCACACCAGCTTTCCCCAGCTACCCAGGCAGTCCAAAATGGATGGGTACTGCCCTCTCCCTAAGAAGACATCAGTCCCAGAGGGAACGAAGAGGTTTAAAGGGATTTCCAGGAGGGTGGGAACCATTTCCTGCAAGCAGCACAGCTGTTCATTATCTGGTTCCTTGCTCTCTGAATATATAATATATACCAACCTCTAGAGACGCAGCAGGAGCGCGGGGTTGGCGTGTGACCTGGTCAAAGCTAGCGATGCAGAAAGCACAAGGGAAGCCAGGCACAAATCATGGCACTTGAAAGGAAGAGAGTCAAATACCCCCGGGCTAACCCAGCCTGCACTGCTTAATCCTCCTGCAGCTCCTTCCCAGCTGTAACCAACCCCTTGCATGTCCCAGCTTGGAGAGATGGGGTCTAATAACATGAATGATATAAACCTGCAACCAGTACCTCCCTCCCCTAAGTAATGCAGCGCAAACTGGGGCAGGAAGGGTTTGCCTAGCCATGGCTTAGGGGAAAAGGGTTGGTGTGGGGTAAACATGGGAACAAAGAAGAGTTAAAAGGGAGGAAAGTAGGGGGGAAAGAAGCAGGCAGGAAAGTACAAGTTGGAGCGCTGACACTGACCAGGAGCACTGGCAAAATGTCTGGAAAAGAGAGGCTTTCTGAGGGATCAGTGTGATCAAATATCCTGAGATTCCCCATGAAGACCAAACGTTTGACATACTCGGTTCATAGTTCAGACCCTGCAGGTTGTCATCTAAAGGGCCCTATCTTCAAGTGCTGGCAATGCTATGTTTGCTCGGGTTTTCTAAGCAGCTCGAAATCCATGTGAGATGCCTTCTTCACTGGGCACAGAAAGCTTGTTTAGATGGATCTGAACCCTCAGCATGTTCTGTGTCCTACCTGAAAGCCGCATGTGAATGGCTTAGATATCCTACAATGTCAGGTTCAAACCATTCCCCTTGGCCTGTCCCTACAGGCCCTTGTCCCAAGCCCCTCTCCAGCTTTCCTGCAGCCCCTTTAGGCACTGGAGCTGCTCTAAGGTCTCCCCTTCAGGAGCCTTCTCTTCTCCAGGCTGCCCCAGCCCAGCTCTCTCAGCCTGGCTCCAGAGCAGAGCTGCTCCAGCCCTTGGAGCATCTTTGCAGCCCATTACTTGCAGCCCCACGGGGACCCTGCAAAACATTAACTACATTAACTACAATGTCTCATCTCAAAGGGATAAAACCTACTTCTGGGTTTGTTGGACTGAAGCAGGGCAGGAGAGTATAAAATGATATTCATTCAACCCAGTTTAGTAACACCTACAGCAGCAAAGGACTTTGCAAACGTGTTCCCTCCTGCAAACGCCACCAGTGTGCCACTATGTGCCCTTTTGCCCCGAATAGATGTGCTGATATGTCCCTTTTGCTCTCTTGCTCCATCAGGTCGCGCTACGCAGAGTTCCAGTTTAATTGCCAGCCATCACCGCAGACTGCGAGCGGCTGCCGGAGGGAGAGCTACGCTGCCTGTCTGCTGGCCTATACAGGGATCATAGGTAGGAGCTGTGTCCTACAGCTGGCTCCCTCTCTAGGTGGGAAATATCATAGAATCATGGCATGGTTTGGGTTGGAAGGGAGCTTAAAGCTCCTCCAGCTCCAACCCCTGCGACGAGAAGGGACCCCTTCCACTGGAGCAGCTTGCTCCAAGCCCCTGTGTCCAACCTGGCCTTGAGCACTGCCAGGGATGGGGCAGCCACAGCTTCTCTGGGCACCCTCAGCACCCTCACAGGGAAGAGCTTCTTCCCAATGTCTTACCTAAATCTCCCCTTTCAGCTTAAAGCCGTGAAAATGGGGCAATTTAGGATAGCTGCAGCATACAGAGAAAACCATGCTGCAAAATCCCAGCTTCTCTCTCAGGTGGAAACAGATGGGCCATCGCAGGGTGTCTGCTCTGCGAGGGGTTCCCTGATGCCATCACTAGTGATGCCACTGGAAATCACCATCCACTGCCATCTTGCTGTCTTCAGAGGCTGTCAGATTGGGTTTGCAGATACTGCAGAGACCCAGCTGGTAGCAGTTAGCACATACAGATTCCCAAAAGAAGCGCCAATGACCATTGGACTTGGTCCATCCTGACGGATGGGACAGATTGTCAGCTATTCAGGTCAAGATTTCATTCTGGTTTAATCCTTCTTTTGTTTTCCCTGACCATTCTGGAGATTGATTTTGGCTCTTCTATTGACAACATGGAAATCTTTATGCACATTCACATATGGGTTTTGAATGTTATGAAGGAACCTGAGATCCCAAGTGGTGCCCATTCCTTGGCCGATAGCGCTTTTTAATTGACTGAAGGCTCTGTTGGTGGTGGGGTGAACAGAAGGGTTGTGACTGACCCTTTTTCTCCTCTCGGGGACCTGAACAAAGCAGCAAGGAGGGAAATCATTGTCCCTTCTTGACGGACCAGCCTTGCCATAACACTTCTCCATCCTTCCTGGCAGGCAGCCCCATCACACCCAACTACATTGACAACTCCACTTCCAGCATAGCTCCCTGGTGCACGTGCAATGCCAGCGGCAACCGGCAGGAAGAGTGTGAGAGCTTCCTGCATCTCTTCACCGACAACATCTGTCTCCGTGAGTATCAGCCCTGCTACCCTGCTGCTCCTGCAGCATCCCCTGCAAGATGGTCAAGCTGCTTGTGATGAGAATATGGATGATAGAACCCCAGCCTGGTTTGGGTTGGAAGGGACCTTAAAGCTCCTCCAATTCCAAACCCTGCCAAGGGCAGGGACCCCTTCCACTGGAGCAGCTTGCTCCAAGCCCCTGTGTCCAACCTGGCCTTGAACACTGCCAGGGATGGGGCAGCCACAGCTTCTCTGGGCACCCTGTGCCAGTGCCTCAGCACCCTCACAGGGAAGAACTTCTGCCTTATATCTAACCTGAACTTCCCATTTCAGTTTGAACCCATCACTCCTTGTCCTATCACTACAGTCCCTAATGAATAGTCCATCCCCAGCATCCCTATAGGCTCCCTTCAGATGCTGGAATGCTGCTATGAGGTCTCCATGCAGCCTGTTCTTCTCCAGGCTGAACATCCCCAACCTTCTCAGCCTGTCTTCATATGGGAGATGCTCCAGCCCCTGATCATCCTCATGTCCTCCTCTCGACTCACTCCAATACTTCCATGTATTTTGTTGGGAAGGATGAAAATGCCTGGGTCCTCAAGTTGATAGGTGTTCAGCTCCCTGTTCTTTCAAAAAAGCAGCTCTTAAGACAAGGCATGCATTTGGGTGATACAGCCAGAGGAGGCTGGAGAAGGGATATGTGTGCTTCTCCTTGGAAACATTGCCCTGACAAGACTTTTCTCCTTCTTTTCCTCACACAAAGAAAATGCCATTCTGGCCTTTGGCAATGGGACCTACCTGAACGCAGCCATGGCCCCATCCATCCCCCCCACCACACAGATGTACAAACAGGAGCAAAATGCCAACAGAGCCGTGGCCACCCTCAGAGAGAACATCTTCGACCACCTCCAGCCCACCAAGGTAGGAGAGGGCATGGCCCTAAGACCTGCTTGGCTGTGTCTGTACCTCCTCCATGCCCTCCAGCCATCCTCAGCTCCATCTTCCACCTGTATCATATCAGTTATATACAGACATTCACCTCCTGAAGTCTTTGATTCACCCTCTTCTTCATACCCTCACATATTCTTCCCCAACGTCAAGCACAGGGCAACATGTTCATATCCCTGACTCTGCTCTCCTGCCTGTTGGTCACCTTCTCTTTTCTTTTATAGATGCTACAGAGAGATATACTGAGTTTTTCTTATAAGTACTGGGACATCCAGGGGCTTTTCAGGAGTGTGGAAGGGAGCCAGGACCACTCCACTCGTTTGGCTCCTCACCTTCCTGCAGGGCTTCAGACAAGCATCTCAGCTGCCTGGGACACAGGTTCCTCCCTTGTTAGATGAGGATCCTGGAGGTCATAATGCAGAGGTTTAACTGCCTGAGGCTTGCAGATGAAATATTCTGGCCATCAGCAAATTGTTAGTATCAAAATGATATGAAATTTACATCATTTCAAACCAAATGACAGATGAATTTACTGACGGTGGCAGCAGTAGGCATTAAATATCTCATTTCTAAATAAAATCACACCGACCTTGGTTTGTCACCACCTGAGTGATTTTCAGATTGCATTATTTCACTGTTGAATAATTAACAGTGACCCTGACTGGCTGAACATTCAGGTAACAGCAGCTGTCAGGCAACTAGACCCCAAGGGCTGAGCGTGGGCTTTACACTGGGCTTAGCGGATCCCTTCAGAGAGCTTCCACACACGGGGCTTTTGAATCCCCTTCCCTGTTTCTTTTGCTGGGAAATCACTCGATTCATGTCCCACCAGTCTGTTTTCATGGAGCAGCAGGATGGGAGTGTAGAAATGTGGCATCAGCTTCCTTCCTTTGCTGCTTTTCAGGGCATTGGTGGCCATGCGCAGCCCAGGCAGACTTTCACCAGGTTATACATGCACGCTATACAAATATTTCTCTTCCCCTTTCCTTGTTTCCCTTTCTTTCTCCTTCTCTTATTTTTCTTTTTCTTTTTCTTTTTCTTTTTCTTTTTCTTTTTCTTTTTCTTTTTCTTTTTCTTTTTCTTTTTCTTTTTCTTTTTCTTTTTCTTTTTCTTTTTCTTTTCCTTTTTCTTTCTCTTTTTCTTTTTCTTTTTCTCTTTCTTTCTTTCTTTCTTTCTTTCTTCCTTTCTTCCTTTCTTTCTTCCTTTCTTCCTTTCTTTCTTCCTTTCTTTCTTCCTTTCTTTCTTCCTTTCTTTCTTTCTTCCTTTCTTTTTCTTTCTCTTTCTCTTTCTCTCTCTCTCTTTCCTTCCTTCCTTCCTTCTTTCTTTCTTTCTCTTCATCTTCCTCTTCTCTTTTTCTTTCTCTTCATCTTTCTCTTTCTCTTCCTCTTTTCTTTCTCATTCTCTTTCACTTCCTCTTCTTTCTCTTCCTCTTCCACTTTTTCTTTCTCTTCCTCTTTCTCCTCCTCTTTCTCTTTCTCTGTCTCTTTTGCTTTCTTTCTCTTTCTCTTCTCTCTCTTTCTCTTTCTCTTTTCCCTTTCCTCCTTCTCTTCCTTCTCCTTCTCCTTCTCTTCCTCTTTCAGGTGGCCGGAGAGGAGAGGCTCCTGCGGGGCTCCACTCGTCTATCATCAGGGACCTCCAGCGCAGCAGCTCCCTCCCTCTGGGCAGCCTCTCCACTGCCGATGTGGCTTCTCCTGGCTCTTGCCGAGCTGAGCCTCTTTGCGATGTGAAGCAGGGTGGGCACAACCCAGGCACAGACTCACTTTGTGTTGGTTTCTTTACAAAACAACCAGAAACTCGTTTGGGGAGAGGGGGTGGGAGGAGGGAGGGGATGGGAAGGAGACGTGAGCGTGTGGGCATCCCTTCCTCCTCCTCATCTGTCTGCCGCTTGATTTGGTTTTATACAATCAGCATCGTCGACAACCAGCTCATGCTTGGTCCTGGCCACCTTTCCACCCCATGGCTTGGTGGTCTCTCCAGCTCTCTGTGGGTGGGGTTGGAGCCATGGACAATTAATTCCCTTGGAAAAGGAGAAGGAGAGAGTGGAGCCAAGAAACGAGATCTGCAAAGGAAATGCTTTTGCCTGCCCCAGCCAAGGGGGGAAGACTTTTGATGGATGAGCTGTCAGGAGGTTTCCTGAAGCCCTGACTCACACTGGGGGGCTCTTGACAGCACACGTCAAGCAATGTGGAGTTCAGACTGTCTCCAGGGTTGCTCAGGACACAAAGGGCATCCCAACTGGTTCAGACTGAAACCAGAGCACCAGTGAGAAGGTGGGTGGTTCTGTTGACCAGAGAGGATCCTGAAGCACCTTTGGGTTGGACCAAGAAACCACACCAAGAACTGGCTTGAAACCATGGCCAGAGTGCAACCAGCATGCACCTCCAAGCTGTCACCTACCCCTTGGGCCCTCCTTTTTAGAGAAACATGTGTCATGTATTGGTGGTGTTCAGGAAGAAACACGTGTGTTGCGTTGCGTTCGCGGCTGGCTTCCCTCATGCCCCAACCCTTGCATCGCTGCTCACTGGTCCTGTAAAGTGTCTGGGGGAGGTATTTTTCTGTCACATCCAAACAACCAGAGGCCAATGTTGTCCTACTCCAAGCTAATCTTTCTCCATGAGGGATGAATATGTGAGCCCATCGGCAGGACTCGATATGAGCCCAATGCAACCCATTCTCACGTGCTACCTGTGCATCCGCCAGTCCTGAAGAGACAGAGGTTCCTAAGTCAGGATTTCATTATTTCTTCCAGGAAGAGATAGGATGGAAAAGGTTTGCCAGATAGCACCCTGGGGATGTAAATACCCAGCCAGTTTGTGAAAAGGCCAAGTCATGAATCGTTACATGGGTAGAGAGTGGATTTCTATGGTTCCCCTCCTTTCATTGCTGGTAGAGGCAATCACTTGTATCCAGGTTATCAGGTGAAGGACATTGCCTCTAGACAAGTCCTATTTACTAAGCTGAGAGGTCATTTAAGCCAAGGTTGATGAAGTGGCCCATTCCACTGAGCTGCAACCAGAGCCCAGCTGGAGGGTGAGGACAAGCATCCCCCTGGTCTCTCAGGGCACAGGGAGGCAGATACATGATTTTGGGCTACCTGAGCACTGGGGTATTCTGTCCAGGAGGTGAGCTGAGGACCCCCAGTGCCTTCTTGCAGGGGTTAACCCCTCACTAGATCAAGCCAAGAAAGAAGATGGTAACTAAGGGTGAGGTTTCCCAGGATAAAAGCTTACCCAGGCTGACCATCATGGAAGGCACAGGAATAGCTTCAGATTTATCCAGAGTATTTGGGCCTGGGCTTTGAAGGAGCCTGTTTATTCCTTGGTTTGTGCTCCTCAAGGAACGTCATTGGTTCCTTAGCATTTGGATCCATAGAAAGGCTTAAGAGCAGCTGATGCAGCAAAGTCCAGCATTTCTTATTCCTATTTGCTGCAGAGCATCTTCCATCATTTATTGCTTCTGATTCTGCTGAGAAACTGCAGCAGCTTTCTTGGGTTTTGGTCACTTGGTTTTGAACACTTGTGGATGTGTGAAACATGTCCAGAAATCCTTCTGGCTGCATCCTATCCAAAGTTCTGCTCCTCAACGTCCTATGGGCTGTAGGACCCGGCTGTCTTAATCCAGGGCTGTGCAAAGGAACATCAGTTCCTAGATTCATGGAATTGTTTACGCAGGAAAAGACCTGAGCCCAACAGTTAACCTGCCAAGATCCAAGTCTTGTGTGCAGGGTGCCAAGTCTCACTCTGAACTGAAACTTGGATGTGAGATCTCTGCTGCCAAGAGGCTCACCCAGAGCAGAAAGGCAGGCAGGAGGTAGTGCTACAGGCAGGAGAGCCCCTCACCTCCCTTTCCGGTGCCATATCTGTGCTCTGAGTGTGAACATCTCCCTTTTATCCAGGATGTCAGTGTCCCCTGTCAGACCATGGAGCCATTTCTGCTCCAAGTGACACAACAACAAGCTGCAGCCCTGCAAAGTTGGTGTCCTCTGAGCCACAGGTGAGAAAGGGGTTAAACCCTGATGCTCAGCCCTTCAAAGGCAAGGAACTACCTCAACATCACGAGGTCATGCTGTGAATTGCCTTCTCCTGCCTCTTTCCTTCCAAGTCCTGTGCTCATGCCCTGCTCTTCTACACACCCATCTCCATCAGACTTGAATCTCTGTGTAGGATGGGCATGAAGTGTCAGCTGCTTTCCACTCACGGCTCCACTCCTGTGCCTCTCATAACTCACTGCTGGTGATGCTGAAATGACACTTGGCCATTTCCTTCTCTGACTGATTGACACCCAGCAGAGACAGTCTTCTTGTGGGTGGTCAGGATGACAACCCCACTTCACGGCTCCCTTAGGACTGTGAAAAATACATGTGGGGAATCATACTCCGAGACTAGAGAGGATGGAGGAGACCTCAGAGGTTACCTGGTCCGTTACCATGCCCCACATCAGGACCAATGGTCTGTTTACATTTTAAAGCAGATTTATCTTAAATGATTTTTAACAATTTCAATGAAACACATTACCATCATCATCATCTTCCCTGGGTTTATAACTTGCTTTAAAGACTCCTTAGGATATTAGTTCTCTCCAAGCATCACAGGCTAACGAGACCCTCAATTCCCACAGTGGTGTCTTCTCAAGCCCTCAGTTATGGAAGGATGGCAAACCAACAGCTAAAAGTGACAGCCAGCTGCCATGGATCATATCAGAGCCATTGCATGAGAAACTCAAACCCCACAGCAGTGATCTGCTGGGATCCCTGCACAAACTGCAGTGAGATAATGTTAATAGGTGCCTGTGAGAGGGGTTTCCTCCTTATGCCCTTGGTTGAGGGACCTCGAATCATCCGTAAAGATGAGGGTGCAGGTCTCAAAGTGTCCTCAGCCTTTGCCCTGTGATTTGGACACAGCATCCTTCAAGCACTGTCTTAGGCCAAGGCCTGCACACTGGGGTCTGGGGATGCTCTGAGGTGAAGTAGGGCTCAGTAGAGCCTCTCATCCAGCAAGAAGGAGCCAGGGGGTTGGGATGAGCACTCATATCACACACAGTTAAAGCCAGTAATAATCCCCAAACCTGCATGACTTTTTACCAATCATTTCACCCCTTTTGCCACCATTTAATGTCAATTCCCCCTCCAGGCCCATTCATGAATCACACTCTGTGAAAGAAGGATGGCTTTCGAGCAGTCCCGTTGGAGGAAGGAAACCCGAGTACATTCCTCCCCACCTACAGACACGTGTGTGCACGGGCCACTTCTTTTCCCTGGGGAAAAGTCAGTCATTTTCTGGGATGAAATTCCATCGCTGTTGAACTCTGTGAAGTGAACCACGGATCTTCATTTTGAAGTCTCCTGAGTCACCACCAAAGGCAGAGCAGCTGCTCGTAAAGGCAAAGGATTGGGAAAGCCAAAAGAGAGGAAAGGACACAATACTCTTAGGGATTACTCCTTATCTGGGGACTTCCATAAGCACAAAGAAGAGTCACGTGGGGCAAGTAATAAGAAAAAGAACCAAACCAAACCAGCCACCAAACTCTGTCTTTTTTGGCTGCTCAGCACCGTTCCCAATGGTTTGGCATCCTGAAAGCCCATGGAATGCTGTGTGTGTGTACAAATACCACATCATCATCAAAGCCAGAGCATGAGCAGGGAGGGAGACACCGTGGTGGGGAGCTGGTTTCGGAGCAATAACCCCATGGGTACCAGGGTGATGCTGAAGGCTCTGTGTGCGTGTGTGTATACACATGCACATAGGGAGGGTGGTTGATGTCTGCCTGTACTACTGGGGTAAAACTTGTACTTATCTCTTCTGTACATGTCAATATTCAAATATATCCATGAATAAAGCACACATGCATTTTCCTGAGCCTTTTGCTCCTGTCTGTGATACTGGGATGTCCCTGTATGCATGTCCTGGTCTCATGCTGTAAGGGTAGCTGGAAGGAATAAGGGGATATCCTGGGGGGGTAGCAGAGCTGTGGGATTCAAACACCCTGTGCTCGGCTAGAAACCCAGCTCTGACACAATGCCTCCCAGCACGAAGGGGCAGCGGGGGAAAAACCAACTGTTCTCAAATGGACAGACATCAGTGCCACGTAGGAATGGGACATGGACCCTTGTGAGCCCTGGGGGTGCTGGTGCTGCATGCAAGGGTGATGCACACCAAGATTTGAATACTCCATCCCTGGCAGTGTTCAAGGCCAGGTTGGACACAGGGGCTTGGAGCAAGCTGCTTCAGTGGAAGGGGTCCCTGCCCGTGGCAGGGGTTGGGACTGGGTGAGCTTTAAGGTCCCTTCCAACACAAACCAGTCTGGGGTTGTGTGTAGCAAGGATGTCAATAATTGCACCCACAATTAGGGGCACTTGAACCACTAATGCTGAGATACCATCATATACCCTGGGTGGGTAGCAATAACTGGGGTGGCTGGTGCTGCATCCTCCTGCAGGGTGCAGGAGGCGGGAGCTGAAGGAGGAGGGAGGTGATGGTTGGTGCCAGCTGGGGAGGCTTCTGTTCATGCCATGCACATCTGTGAGTTATTTTTGGTAACTTAGAAAAACCCCATAAAATCACAGGCAAATTGATTAGAGGCAAATTGAATGTTTTCCTGCCAATTTTGGGTGGGGGAAAAAAAAACCTAGAAAGCAAATGTATATAAAATTTATATTAAAAAAGCAGTTGAAATTCAAGTTGTTTCCTAAACACAAAGTGAGCTCAAGGTCAAAGCCAGAAACGTTGCAATTTTTGCTCCGCAAAACCATGTTTGTGTCTATACCTGCATGGAGCAGCCTGAGGGGAGCAAAGCCTGAGGGTTATGGCCAGCGTTGGGACTCTCGTCAAAGCCAGTTCTTTCCCCATGGTTCTTGGGCTGTTTCGGTGGATGTGGTTTTGCTGACACAATAGAGAATTCCCTGGGAAAGCTCCAGCTGGTTGGACCTGGAATGCGCTGTGGGAATACTGCAGGTCTGATGGGTTTTCCCTGCTTCCTGGCAGGCGGCTGCTCAACCACGGTCAGCACCTGGAAACTGCTGTGGGATGGTCCAGGGCCTGATGGAGAAGGGGTTGACAGCAGCTCATGGATTGCAGGGGAGAACCTGGCCTTGAAGGAGACCTTGGGACTCTCATGGTTGTAGAGCCTGTCCTGGCTCCTGCAGGCTTTGTGTGCTGGTTTGATGGATACAGGGCAAAGCCTGTGGCTGGTTACAGCATCCCTGCTCTGGGTCATAGCAACTGGCTTCGAGCAAGCCTGGGCATCACCCTAAAGATAGGGTGAAGAGATTTCGGACCAGGAGCACCACCAATAGCTAAAGGGTGCTTTGCCTGACCCCCCCTTCTATCACATCTCTGAGTGTGGTTTTGGAGGGCGCTGGCTGTGCCCACAAGAATACTGAGCCCCACTCCCTCCTCCAACCAGACATTGTACAGATGAGGCCCTCAGTGCCACGGGTCAGCAGTGGTGGCCTTGGCAGTGATGGCGTAGTAGTTGGGTTTGATGATCTTAAAGGTCTTTTCCAACCTGGTTGATTCTACGATTACCAGACAGGGACAAAGACTGAAGCAAGAGCAGGTGAAGTGATTTACCCTAATTCCCAGAGAAAACCCCCTACAACCTCTGTAGCCCCAAGGATGGAGAAGAGCCGGGGCTATCTGCAGACAGGACCTGATGGTGACCAACAACCCCCATCACACCACAACAGCAGACTTGGCACAAGCCAAACCCTGCAGCTGAGTTCAACTGCTGTGAGGGGACGTTCACAGCAGAAACAACAACTTCCCATCCGTTATCTCCATGCAAACGGTGCTCATGTGCTGATAGGGCTGGATGCACCTTGCTTTGGTTGTTAAAGCGTTGTCATTCCGTGCCAAGCACGGAAACAGTGGCTCTTTGCCAAAGGGAAGCGTTGCGGAATCAGCTCTGACATCAAAAATGTTCAAAGCACCTGGGGTTTTAATCTAAGGAGAAGTGGAAATGATTTCTGGTGGGAGCAGGGATCCCAGGGAACGTGACAATGGAATTCCTGCCAGGCCTGCTGCCGGAGGCACGGTGAGGCTGCAGACTGGAAAGCTGAACTGATAAAACCCTGAGGGAGCTGCCGGTGGTGGATGGGGAAATGTGGACACCAGAGTCACAGAATCATGGCATAGTTTGGGTTGGAAGGGAACTTCACAGCTCATCCTGTCCAATGCCCCTGCAATGAGCAGGAGCAACTTCAACTAAATCAGTTAGATCCATGCTCTCCTTCAAGACCCCATCCCAGTGTGATCTGTTGTCACGGTCCAAACATTCCCACTAAACCTCTGCTTTCATATTAAATTCAGGGGATAGTGTTAGGACAAGGAAGGACTAAATCCCCCCCTCTCATGGCATCACTGATCACCACTAATATGGGGTGAGACCAGAACCAGCCCCAGTCCTGCAGGCTATGGGCTTACGGAGCTGTGACCCTGGCTCCTTGCCAGCAGCAGGGATATAAAGAGGAGCAAGTTGTTATCCTCCCTGTTAGAGCCAGAGGGGCCACAGGTGCTTTTGGCAGTGTAATTTGGGCTAAATTCCCTGCAGATGTGGCTACTGCTCGGTGCACGAGGTCTGAGTGGGGACTTAGGAACACAGAAAAGGGGAAGGAAGGGTCTGATTGTACATCTTGAGGTGGTTTGAACCACTGGATGCTTGAACCATCAAGGCCAGGTTGGACAGGGCTTGGAGCAAGCTGCTCTAGTGGAAGGTGTCCCTGCCCATGGCAGGGGTTGGAACTGGGTGAGCTTTAAGGTCGCCTCCAACAGAAAGCATTCCATGATTCTATGGTCTTGCTTTTGCCTGGGGGAAGATCTTATCATCCAATAGTTATGTAAAACCCTACTTTGGGGTTCCTTGGGTAAACAGCACCCAGCCTCTGGTCCAGGCTTTCTGTAGAGTGGTTGAGTTAAATTGGTGGCTTGGTAAAAAGACTTAAAACTGACTCCCCTCTTCCCATAAATAACTGATGTTTAAGTCTTGTGGGAAGAAAAGCTGCATGGCAAATACTTTACTGGTTACTCACCCAATCACGTTCATCAGGGGTGGGATGACAGCAAAGAGCATCATCCTGGATGCACACAGAGCCTTGGAGAGCCTCCATGCAACCTTCCATTCCTTCCCTGCAAACCTCATTTCCTTTGCTGCAACACAAGGAGAAAACATCAGAGCAGAGATGGAACGTGTCCCCAAACCGCTGCATTTCATCCCGCTGTCCAAAATGAGTTTACATCGGCTGTAAAACCACTACCCCCTGCCCACCTCATTTCAAGTCTGGACACACCACGCTGTGCTTGCAGGCTGGCATGCTCCGCTCAGCTCGGCAGCAACTGGGCTTCTGCATCCAAGTTTAATGCCATGGGATGAAGCAGCACAACGGCCCTTGGAGACGGCGGTGACTGAAACCTTCATGGCTCATAAAAGCCAGGCCCAACCCTGCTTCATATCAGCGGTGCTTAATTCCAGAGCTGGAGAGAGCCATAAAAATAAATGGAGAACAACGGATTGCGTCTCACCAGGGATGCGCTGCGGGATGCCAGGGAGCGCTGCAGGCAGGGGTGGGAGAGCAGAGGGCACCTCTGGCATCGCTCTCCAGCTTTCCTGTGTGTCTCAAGCATCAGCTGGCACCAACATCATCAGGGAAGCTCTTTGCAGAGACAGGCTTCTGGGATGTCAGATTTCCCTCCTTTGGTTCAAAGGAAGGAGCAGTTTAGTGGGAAAATTAGTACCGAGCAAGCTGAGATTGTGCATTTTCATTGGGCTTATTTAAACACTGAATGCAGAAGCCCTGAGCGCTGGGGCAGTAACACAGTCACCAAACCAGATAAACACAGATTCATAGAATCATGGGTGGGAAGGGACCTTAAAGCTCCTCCAGCTCCAACGCCTGCCACAGGCAGGGACCCCTTCCACTGGAGCAGCTTGCTCCAAGCCCCTGTGTCCAACCTGGCCTTGAACACTGCCAGGGATGGGGCAGCCACAGCTTCTCTGGGCACCCTGTGCCAGCGCCTCAGCACCCTCACAGGGAAGAGCTTCTGCCTAAGAGCTCAGCTCAGTCTCCCCTCGGGCAGGTTCAAGCCATTCCCCTTGGCCTGTCCCTACAGGCCCTTGTCCCAAGCCCCTCTCCAGCTTTCCTGCAGCCCCTTTAGGCACTGGAGCTGCTCTAAGGTCTCCCCTTCAGGAGCCTTCTCTTCTCCAGGCTGCCCCAGCCCAGCTCTCTCAGCCTGGCTCCAGAGCAGAGCTGCTCCAGCCCTCGCAGCATCTCCATGGCCTCCTCTGGCCTCGCTCCAACAGCTCCACGTCCCTCTTGTGCTGTACCCTGACAGCAAGGATTCACAACCCCAGCGCTACAGAGGTCAGAGCATCCTTCGCTTTAAGAAAGAACAAGAAGACAAAAGCAGAGGAAACAAAAATTTAACCAGGTCATCTACTTTTTATTTCAGAGGAAAGATTTGCGTTATTTACTTTGATTTATGTACACGGACTTCACATTTTTCGTATTTAAAATGCACAGACCTCCCAGGAATTTCCTCCTTCCTGCTTTAAATCGGTTGTTATTTTACAATACAAAAAAATTATACCAAAACCTGCAGTCCTAAATGTGTGTCTGCATAACGCCCCCAATCCCCGGCCAGGAAATAGTTTACAATGCTTGCTCGTATTTACATGTGAATGCAAGAAACACTGAATTATACATATTAACAAACTAAGCTCAAGTTGGAACACAGATAAGAATTGTCAATAAGTACAGAACAAAGGGGATATAATCCGGAACACAATTAATTCAAGGATCTTGGTGTAAAGAACAGCTATTGTGCACAAATCCGAGTCATAGAAAACTCTGTTTTTTATTCTTTTTTTGTTGTTTTCTTAAAAAGAAAAGAAAAAAATAATGGGCTGACATCTGTTACACTCCACTATTCTTTATTTGTCTTCTTTCTTCTGCTGAGGTTTGTGGAATCAATGATAAATGGAGAGGAAATGCCTAAAGAACTATAGTACCTGGAAGACGCATGCAAATAGAGCGTGTGTAGTGTTAGAATGAAGGAATAAACTGAACAAACCTGCCCTGGTGCAGCAGCAGCAGAACCAGCCTCTGCACTGGTATCCTAGCAGGGGAAACTCATCCGATTTAAGCAGCCATCAACAGAAAAAGGGGGAATTTCAGTTAAATTGCTACTAAGATGCTCAAAACTGAGGCTCCGTCCCTTTGCTCCAGCATCCCTGAGTGCTTGCGCATCTTCCAGCGGCACCTTCCCATGTCAAACACGCACAATTCCCTCTCCCAACCTGCAGCTTAGCTCAGGAGGCTCCCAAATCCCACCCCTGTCCCTCCCCTGCCCCTGTGGCATTCCCAAATGAAGAGAAAAAGCAGGAAAAGAAGAGCCATCCGCAGGTGATGCACAGTTGGATGGATGAGGTTAAGAGTTGCTCCTGGCACGCAGGGTCTGTTCTTTGCTCACAAGCTCAGTGCTGGCAAATCCCTGTTTGCAGGGAAAGGGTTTTAGAGGTTCAGGGATGCAGCTGATGCTCCATCCCTAACTCGGGTTGCATGGAAAAGGGAATGCAGCTGCTGACATTGGGAGCAGTCAAGGATGGAGAATCAGCAGCATCTTTGCTGCACTGGGCTTTCTGGTGGGTTATGGGAGAAGCCTGAGGTTCAAGTGAAGGCATTTCATCAGAAGCTCTTTTCAGCTTATTTAGGGCCTAGCAAGCTGAGCTGCCATTTGAAAACCATACCATAAACCCAGTTTAATGATGTTTCTGAGCAATATTTACCATAGAAACTACCCCATAGGAAGCGTGTATCTGCCAACAGGGGCCATCATGCTTTTCTGGTACCGTACCATCACATTTTGGTACATTACACACTATAACTTAATGCTAACCACAGGCATTATCCCATCATGTAGAGCTTTATTTTGGCAATTCCAATACAGCGCATTTTAAACCCAGGGAAGGTGGCAATAACTCAAAAGTCGTGTCCCATAAATCTTGCATCCAACGTATTGACCCACAGTGGGGCAGAGCCACTGTCACTGATGCTACAACAGGCCAGAGGGAATTCTGGGCTAAAGAAAAGGGGAAATGGCGAACAACGATGAAATACGTGGTATTTGGAGCTTTCCACAAAAAAAGGGCTACAGTATTTCTGAGGTTTTATGGGTTTTCTTTTAAAGGCTACTTCCAATGAGTAGAACTGGAGGGTTGAGACCTTGAAGGCTGAATTTCAGGCAGTTATAAACGCTTGAGAAGAGTGATTCTGAATGGAAATCACTGGCACAATCTTAATGGTAGAGGCTCAAACTGCTGACTTAATCCTCCGAGTAATGACTCCTTTAAGTACATTTATTGCTTGTCTTCAAGTGTTGGGATTTTTTCTCCCCTTTTCAAGTGGAAGAGCTGTATTTTACTTCGCTTATACAGTTAAGTGAACTGCATTTGAATACATAAAAGTCAAGTTATGCCTCCCTGTTTTATACTGCAAGATAGCACGACTATAATTTGACGTTTCTTTAAAGCTCTGGGAAGTTATCTAATACTGATCAGATGAAGAAGTTATTAAGACAAACCTCATATATCATTTAAAATGCATCAAAAATACATTCAAAAGGTTTTCTTCTGGTTTATGTACATTTTAAATCTTCCAATGCTCTGCACGCTACTGTATACGTTATGTACAAGTGCAAAATCGGGGTGTTATTTGTCATCTATTTACAGATTCTCCCATGAAATAAGGTGGTTCTTTCCCCCAGCACCACCTCCAGAAGAACTGAACCCACAAATCCTTCACTTCTGATACTGGCCTGGTGATAAAGCACCAGCAGGTCTCTTCCCCCCATGCATTCCCACCTTTGTCTCTATTTTACCTTTCAAGTTGGGATGAAACCGTTTGCAGCAGACACATATGAGAGTTCTCTTTCCCCCTCATCAGTACGGAGAGGAGACGCTGAGCAGAGCTGCATCCTAAAGGAGCCGTTTCATTTCCTTTATACAAGTAAGTCTTGTTCCTCCATTTACATCACTTGGTTCTCCTAAACCAAAAAAGTTTGATCATTTTTTTTGCTTCTCTTCCCAGTATCTGTCACTTGGTGGCTACAGTTCTGGGCACATGCCAGCATTAAGACCCAGCTCTCCACGAGGGGGAAATCACCCACAAAACCCACCTTTAAGTCTTTTCGTAATGTAAGAATACATCACCCCTCTAGGCCCATTGATCTGAAAGCTGTTTCTGTCCAGCAAAACCCAAGCAATGACTTTAAGCACTTGTTTAAGTGCTGTTCTACCTATGGAGACTTAAGCACAAAAGCTTGGGGTGGCAGTTCTGCTCCCAAAGCAGCACTGGAGAAGCAAGAAGCCATCTCTGAACGTGAGGATGTGCATCACGACATGTAAAGGAATAACAGGTAAGGGATTTTAGTCCAGTATTATTTCTCTAGTTCAGGTTATCACTATACACATAGGGAGTTAGAAAATACTTTCAGGAGATGAATCTGTCTGAGGTAATCTGTGCATCAGTTAAAACTTCAATTGCCTAAACCCCTTCATCCTAAGAGACAAAGCTCACCCCTTTCCTTCCCATAAGTTCTTTTCCCCAGAGGGCATTTAAACTTCTGGTTTAGAAAAGGATGCATTTTATTTATATATATATATCTATACACACACACATATATATATATAAAAATGCATTTTTTCCACAATATCTTGTTTTTCTGCAGTCCTCTTGTATTTGTTAAATGACACATTAAATCAGAATTATAACCCACCACAGTCTTTAAACCAGCAGCCTTTGACCCCCATCACTGCCGCCTGGACACGCACAACCATTCACATCTTTATTGCGATGCCGCCGCGCTCCAAAGAGCTTCTTCAAAATACATGGTTAAATAACCCCCAAACAAAGCAAAAATGAGTGGCTGATATGTGATTGATCACCAAAACATGCACACAAAAAAAGATGCAGTTCCTTGGGTTTCATTTTGGGAAAGGATGCTACCTGGCCAGATTCGAGAGCACTTTCCTTCGCTCCTCTCCATGTGTTCTCTCTTCATTTCATAAATACCTCATTGGATACCATGACCTGAATGAAACCACATTTACTGCGAGTAAGCAATAATTACAACCCCTCATTTGGCATCTTCGCTTAACATCTTCCTACCGGCTTCAGCATCACAACCTTGTGTAAGCTGGCTCCAGCACTGCGCTACATTCCCGAGTCAAGGGAGACGTCGGACAGCAGCAGGCACAGACTGAGGTGTTAAGTCCAACCCTGAGCCTCAAAACACGAAACCCAACCCATCAGACTACTTCAGATGGTTTGATACATCCCCTCAAAGCTAAGCCTTCTCTTTGCTGTTTGTAAGTGCCTTCCTTTCACCAACAAGCCGCCTCCTTCAGCATCCTAGCGCTCAACCCCGATGGGGAGTATCAGTAACTGCCCATATCAGCAACTGACCTTGTAGAACTCACACCCGTGGCCAAACGAAGCTGCTCTGCTTACTTTATACTTAAAGTGCTTTTGAACTTCATCCTCAAATGATCTGGCACCCAGAGACTTGCTTTTTACACCCTATAAGGAGACAGAGCAAATCTTACTGTTGAGGAGCGATGCCTGAGCCCTGGCACAGCTCAGCTCTCATTCAGAAGAATGGCAGGAGGGCAGAGGGAGGGAAAGAAAGGAAATGGGCAGAGAAAATGAGAGGAACTATAATGTATCTGGCCTGGAACACAAACTGCTTCTATTAAAAGCACTGATGAAACCAGTTTTCTTATGAGATACAGAAACTCTCCTTTCCCTCCAGATATTTCCATCTGGTTGACTAGTTTGTTGGTCAGGAAAATGCCATTTTCCCCTGACTGCACGTGATGTATTACAGAGAATACAGATTGCCTTGGGTGACTGTATCTATGTGTGTACACATACATTTAAAAGGAATATAATGATGGCAAAAAGAAAGTTGTGTAGCAGTCTCCTCACTCCCTAGATCTGTTCAAGTCTAGGCACTTGTGTGTGGTGTACTCCAAGCAGGTTAAGACTATGTAAACACTGAGTCCTTCCAAAGTGACATTCAGCTTCTCCAGGTATTGCACGTGGTCTGAGCAACACGTGACATCAACCTTTAAACCATCCCAGCTTCTGCATTCCTCATGTTCTGGACCATGATGACTACAAAACCGCTGCATCTGGAAGAGAGTTCCACTTAAATAATGAGGGAACAGACATGTAATAGGAAATGAAAACAAAGGATGAAGATGCTTTGAAGATTAATAGTAGTGTTTATGTGTTGAGAGCTGACACCTGTAAACACTGCATCTTTTTCTTGTTGTACAGTTTGATAAATACAGGAACTACAAAGCACTTTCCATGTATAAACCTGAGTGTCATTCAGATTGGACTACTGTTCTATTTACACTGACCATGAATGGTGGCGACTGGATGTTACTGGACCTGCAATAAAATCATTTTACTTTAAACTGGAAGAAAACAAAGGAGCAATCTGAAGCCACGTGTCAGTAAAACTTAAGTGGAGCAGTTGTCAAATAAAGCCAACTATCACGTAGATGAGAGAAAAAGTTGGGTTCAAGGAAGTTGTGTTTCGTCTTCTAGTCTCTTGGGACACAACTTGGAAATCTTCCTCCTCCTAGGTATTACTTCTCCGTTTTGTTTAAAACCCTATGCAGTTTCTGATGTCCATGCATCAAATACAGGTTCCTGGCTGTGCAGGGGGCTGCTGTTTCCGATTTCGTATTGCACCCGATTTCTCTTTGTAGGCAATTGGCATCTGTTGTGAAATGTCCACCAGTGCACTGGCCACTGCAAGACCTGAGGCAACAAATGAAACAGGCACTGAATGAAACAGGCACAGGGATAAATCCTTCCACCACAGCCCAAGAAACCCCAAAGGCACAAAATTAATATCATTTTCTGAGTTCTTCTTAAAAATAGCAAACTAGAAAAGCATTTTGGCTTCAGAGATTAAACCTCTAAGCCAGGTTGATGGGGATGGGAGCAACCTGGTCTAGTGGAAGGTGTCCTGACTGTGGCAGGAATTTGGAACTGGATAAGCTCTAAGGCCTGTTTCAACCAAAACCATTCTGGGATTCTATTCTGAAATAAGTTTTTAAATACTGCATGTTTTATCCAAAGCAACTAGCAATAAGAAGTATGGGAATTAATGAAACCCATCATATGGAAGGGATGTCTCTGCCTCTGCACCAGTGGGTGTGCTGGAATAAATCCTGCAAGCACAAGTGCATGGAGGTTTCGCTGTGCTGCTGCGCATCCATCATCTCTACAAACTCCTCCCAGCAGATGCACTGCTGGCCACTGGGATTTAGCTCAATACAGTTCACAAACCAACCATCCCACTTCAAACCCAGCTGATGCTCTGCTCCAGTGTGCTCCCTGGGCATTGGAGAAACCCCAGTGAAACCACAAACTGCCCAGGAGATGATGACTCAGGGCTCTGACCTCAGGTTTGAGTGCAAAAGGGCTGAGGAAACCTTAAGCTAGAGGGACAAAACTTCTTTATCCAGGGCTGCTAAGAGAACAACATAGATGCTGTGAAAGGACTCAATGTCTCTCTACAGGTGATGGGTTTGTACTTAAACGGGGGAGATTTAAGTTGGATATAATGCAGAAGCTCTTCCCTGTGAGGGTGCTGAGGCGCTGGCACAGGGTGCCCAGAGAAGCTGTGGCTGCCCCATCCCTAGCAGTGTTCAAGGCCAGGTTGGACACAGGGGCTTGGAGCAAGCTGCTCCAGTGGAAGGGGTCCCTGCCCGTGGCATGGGTTGAAGCTGGAGAAGCTTTAAGGTCCCTTCCAACACAAACCATGCTGGGATTCTACAAATACCAAGGCAGCAGAGACAATGACATTGCTCACCTGACTGTCCTGGTGGTGGGATACCCCCAAGTCCTCGAGGCAACCTCACGAACACAGAGAGCACGGCTGCTTTGTTCCCGAAGCAGGGCTCCAGCGCGATTGGCTTTGGTACAGTCTGCAGCGAGGGAAGGGAGAGGAGGAAACAAATGTTATACAGCGTGTGACACCCTCCCTCTTCCCCCTGTGTTGTCTCTCTCAGATTGTACAAGCTTCGGGGCATGAACCATGTTTCTGTGCTTGGCAAATATCCAGCATGAAGCCTGCAAAGCTCAAAGCAGCGATAATAACAATCAGAACCCCAGTCATGGCAAAAATCACATTTACTTAACTATGAAAAAGTCAAGCACTGCACAGGGTTTGTATTTCTCCCTGAATTCAATAACAAGGGAGCAGCTTATGCAAAACAACAGGATGGAGGGTTATTTTCCTTGGAACCCATCAGCACATGTATCACAAATATATTCACGTCTGACCTCTGTAATTTGGCCATTCAACTCCTACTTCCAGACTTTAGCTTCATGTAACACCTTCACAGCACTGTACAAACCAACACAGAATGACAGAATAGTTTGGGTTGGAGAGGACCTTAAGAACATCCAGTTCCAACCCCCTGCCATGGGCAGGGACACCTCACACTAAACCACGGCACCCAAGGCTCTGTCCAACCTGGCCTTGAACACCGCCAGGGATGGAGCATTCACAGCTTCCCTGGGCAACCCATTCCAGTGCCTCACCACCCTCACAGGAAATAATTTCTTCCTTATATCCAATCTAAACTTCCCCTGTTTAAGTTTTAACCCATTACCCCTTGTCCTGTCACTACAGTCCCTAATGAAGAGTCCCTCCCCAGCATCCCTATAGGCCCCCTTCAGATACTGGAAGGCTGCTATGAGGTCTCCACGCAGCCTTCTCTTCTCCAGGCTGAACAGCCCCAACTTTCTCAGCCTGTCTCCATACAGGAGGTGCTCCAGCCTCTGATCATCCTCACGGCCTCCTCTGGACTTGTTCCAACAGTTCCATGTCCTTTTTATGTTGAGGACACCAGAACTGCACACAATACTCAATACCCAATACATTGTAAAGAACATTTACCCCTAAACACCCTATTTCACTGTTGTTTGCTTCAAGCCATGTTCCCTCAGCTTTGTCTTTCATTTATGATCTTTCCCAAGCAGTTGTATTCATTTTCCAGTGGTTTTCCATATCACTCTGGACTATAATCTGAGGTAGGTGGTTGCCCTATGAGCTGAAGTGCTTTAGGAAGCCTACTGGATTGTACTGCCCTTTTTAAACTGAAATCACTAGGGCAGAGGGTGGGTTTGTGATCCTGGCTCTGTATCTGGTTGCAGTGACCTAAGATGGACCACTCTTAACATGCTTTTCTGAAGCCTCTTTATCTTGAATACAAATATTTCACATTTACATTACAAACATGGACATGAAATAAAGTCTTCAGATACAACATTAACTGAATGGGGCTTGGAGCAAGCTGCTCTAGTGGAAGGTGTCCCTGCCATGGAACTGGATGAGCTTTAAGGTGCCTTTCAACCCAAACCAGTCTATGATTCTGTAAGATATAATGGGCACCCTTTCTCCCACCCTGGAGGAGCAAGAGACTGGCTCCCTTGCTGACCCTGAGTGTCTTTGAACATCACCCTCGCTCTGTATTCTTACAAGGATTTGATTTCTTTCATCAGCTAACCTCAGTATGTCATTAGAAAGACAAAATGCAACAGCAAAAGTCAAACTAGAATATGTTCTGTCTGAGCTGGGCCATGATCCCATACAGAATAACACATTCTTCTTGTATAGCACGAAACTAAGATGAAGATGCAAGACTATGCCTATGAGTACAGGTACAAGAAATGACTTCTTTTGTTCTACATAAGCAAAAAAAGCTGTGAAGCCCAATTTTAGATGATTCACTCAATACTTTCTGAGTCAGTAAATTCTACCCTGGTATTAATGAAATAATTATTGCTTTTTCCATTAAGCATAAAATTGTTCTTCTGTACTTAAATGTTCAACAGAAACTCAATAGAATTCAAAGCACAGAAAACAGGAGTCAAACAACGCTATTCAATTACTGCTGCTCTATAAAAGAGAAAGAAAGAGATGACAGCAAGCAAAATGAAACTTAAAACTGTTTTCATATCTCATATCTGCTGTAATGATTGCACCAACAATTTGTATGTCTGTGCAAGGTGGACAAATACGTATTGCACAGGCTGTAAGGATGTAAGCTGCTGTCTGCCTGCTTTATGACTGCAGCTGTCTTCACCTTCTCCCCAGCAAAGGGTTTAAACTCCAAACAATGCTTTGCCCACAAGGCACCCAAGCATAGCCTGGTGCTGTATCCCACAAGAGACTCAATAAGCAGAGGGAATAGGGAGAGCACAGGCAAGGCAACTGCAGAAGTACAGCCAAGGGACTCCTGGAGCAGGAGTGGAAGTGTGCATGAAGCACAATGTTTGTTTTCTTTTGGAGAGAGCCAAGTACTTTCCTTATGCCACTGTTGATAGAACATTATTGCTGCTGAATCCCTGAGTGCTTGAGTGTTACAGCGAGGACTTGTGCTCATCCTCAGTGTTGAGCAGAGCAAGTGGCAAGAACCAAGCAGAGGAAAAGTAGTGGGGGAGGAGGAGGATGAAGGAGCAGCTGAACAGGCCAAGAAGAATTTGCATTTTCTAAGACCTTTAAATGTATTCACTTTTAATTCCTATTGGATGAATGGCCACGGAGATGCTGCGAGGGCTGGAGCAGCTCTGCTCTGGAGCCAGGCTGAGAGCTGGGCTGGGGCAGCCTGGAGAAGAGAAGGCTCCTGAAGGGGAGACCTTAGAGCAGCTCCAGTGCCTAAAGGGGCTGCAGGAAAGCTGGAGAGGGGCTTGGGACAAGGGCCTGTAGGGACAGGCCAAGGGGAATGGCTTGAACCTGCCCGAGGGGAGACTGAGCTGAGCTCTTAGGCAGAAGCTCTTCCCTGTGAGGGTGCTGAGGCGCTGGCACAGGGTGCCCAGAGAAGCTGTGGCTGCCCCATCCCTGGCAGTGTTCAAGGCCAGGTTGGACACAGGGGCTTGGAGCAAGCTGCTCTAAGTGGAAGGTGTCCCTGCTCACTGCAGGAAGGTTGGAGTAGATGAGTGTCAAAGTCCTTTCCAACCCAAACCATTCTATGACTCTATGATTCTAAAACACTTCTGCAACTCTGTTCTTTCCCCAACATACGTTACTTATAGCAACTGTACTCCAGCATACTCTGTAATGGCCTGGGGATGCTCAGCAGTATGCTCATCATCTTCCAGCCACTATGCAGAGACAGAAGAATGGAAAACCCTTCTCATGGTCACTAAATCCAGCCCCTCACTTATGCAGGTGACCGTGCATACAAGTACAATGCTGTGCTTTAAAAGCAGTTCCACTTTCAGCCTGTGTCATCACCTCTATGAGACCTTTCCAAAGGCTCCTGGATCTCACAGCTCTGACACCAGAAACGTTCTTCTAACCTCTCTTCCTTCCCACATACATTTATTCATCCACCTGATTTCTTCTGTGCCTTCAGCCTGTCCCTGGGCTATACCCTACTGCCCATCTTGGCCTTCATATGGCTCATCTGAATAAGCAAACCTGCATTCCTTCTCTGAACACAATACTCCCTTCTCCAGCTCTCCCAACCACCCCTCCACACCTCATTTGCTCCTCTGCACTATGGTTGACCTAAGAAGTGTTTCAGGCTTTGACAAGGATGCTGTAACAGCATCAAACCCACCCTAATTCTCCTGCACATCATAAACCGGTAAGGAATGGAAGTAGTTCATTATACAGCTCTCAGTCACAGAGCTGAAAGGATTTTGAGGTAATTTACCTCATCCCTTAGCCCCAAGCTGGAACTTTCTCCTCCTCTGCCCTTTCCAACTAACAAACCCTGAGTGTGCAGCAGAAACTCTCATTAGAAGTCCTTATGGGCATGATCTTTCCTTTCCCATGTGATTTCTATTTCATTCCTCAAGTCTTCCTCCTCTCCGCTCTCCTGATCCCAATCTAAACCATAAGAAGCTTCTATGCAGGTGCCACTGGTGCTGGAAGACCCCCCAACCAGGCAGCCAAGTGCCACCCCCCCAGCAAAAGATGGAGACAGTGGCCACACCAATAGCTAAAATCCAGTGTTATTTCATGGGGATGAGTCTGACCCTCATGCTGCAGTGATTTTTTAATCCATCTGATATCCCATGGATAGCTGAGGGCAGAGGATGCACCTCTGAGCATCCTTCCTTCCCCTGTCAGAGAAGCTGAGTGTCAGTAACACGCTGTTCAGATCTCTCTGCATGGGATACTCTATTTCCCATGCCTAGCAAGGAAGTATTCTTCCTATAACCATGCATCCAAAATCAGGCAGTTACAAGCTGATATGGGAGGAATTAAGCACAAGATCATCTTCCTGCAGCTCCTCTTGACCTGAAATCTCAGAGGGGAAAAAGTGGTCCACTGTCCATCAATAGCAGCCGCCTTCCTGACACAAGCTGCAGTTCAGGGCAGCAAAACCCCAGCATAAAGAACCAAATCCTGCCAATTTGGTTTTGACAGCACCAGTTCAGGCACCTGCTTTTTGAACTGTGACTCATTCTGCATCTCGTCTCCAAAGCGTGCGCTCGCCGGGCCAAGAGACAAAGCGCAGCCTGATGAAATGACTCACATGCAGAGTGATGGGAATGATGAATTGGAGGCAAGCAAGAGGTCAGCCCGGAGTGAAGGGCACACTGTGAGCTCTGCGAGACACAAAGCGACCCAGAGGTGCAGCCCGGGGACTGTATTCTGTAGACAGGGAGGAAAACACATGGGTAATTCAACCAGCAACTGAATGGTGAGCACACTGAGCTATGTGGCAGGCTGGGGGCCAGGTTGGACAGGGCTTGGAGCAAGCTGCTCTAGTGGAAGGTGCCCCTGCCCATGGCAGGGGTTGGAAGTGGGTGAGCTTTACGGTCCCTTCCAACACAAACCAGTCTGGGACTGCAGATCTCACTCACTGCTGGCCTTGCTCTAAGCCTGCTTGTGTCTTTACATGACCCATGTAGATCCTACCATGGCACAAAGCAGCTAAGGAGAAGCTGGCTGACTACATCAAGT